AGGTGTGACAATCTGAGCAACCTTCAGGGAATTTTGAATTGAACCTTTTATTTGGTAAATTTCTATTTTAACACCTGCACTAAATATCCCTTAAAATTTTCCAAAATCATCATAATTCCATGCAAATGTACATGCTGAACTCAAATTAACAAGTAAATTATGAAGAAACCTACCATTTTGGAGTTAACAAGAAAAAAAAATCAGACTTCTTGTTGATCAGTCATCCCCCATTACTGCCATAGTGTTTAGTAATACGGTGTGTGGTACTTCCGGTGGCCTTTGGTCTATTTACTTCTTTTACAGACTTTCCTTGCAGAAAATCACTATGCACTACCGTAAAGAAATGTAATATTATTTTTTTGTTTTTGGTAAGTGTAGTCATATTTATAACAAAAACAAATTAAATAATACAATAGAACCTTTTTTCCATTTCGAATAGCAATGAAAATTAAAAGAACAAATTAAATAATAAAAATAAAGCATTTTTTATATTTTAAAATTGAAAATAAAAAATTAATGCACAAACTTGGTAAATTATTTAATGTTCTTTTTTTTTTTTTAATTTGTCTTCTTTTCTACACAGATAGAAAATCCCATCCCTAACCTTAACACCTAACCCTAAAGTTAACCCGGTTTATTGTATTATTTAATTTTTTTTTTTTTTTAATTTGTCCCCTTTTCTACACAGATTAACTTTAGAGTTAGGTGCTAAGGTTAGGGGTGGGGTTTTCTTTCTGTGTAGAAAAGAGGACAATTTAGAAAAAAATTTATAATACAATCAACCCTTCTATGTTTACCAAGTTTGTGCATTAATTTTTGTTTTATTTCCAATTTTAAAATAAAAAAACGCTTTATTTTCGTTATTTAATTTGTTCTTTTAATTTTTCATTGCTATTTTACATAGAAAAAAAGATTTTATTGTATTATTTAATTTGTTTTTGTTTAAAGTTTCCAGTTATAAATAAGACTACACTAATTAAAAGGAAAAAAAAATGACGATAATGAGTAGTGATTTCAAAAAGAGATATAGCTGTAAAAGAAGTAAATAGGCCACAATTTCTGATTACGCCAGCTGGAGTACCCTGCACCATATTACTAAACACTATGGCAGTAATGGGGGACAAATGACCAACAAGAAGTCCGATTTTTTTTTTTTTTTGCCAATAACTCCAAAACGGTAGGTTTCTTCATTAATTTACTTGTTAATTTGAGTTCAGCATGTACATTTGTACGGAATTATGACGATTTTGGAAAATTTTAAGTGATATTTAGCGCAGGTGTTAAAATAGAAATTTACAAGTTTTCTGTTCTTGTCTAAGAATATTTCATCTTGTTCTTATATCAGTCAGTTATGTGCCATGTGTGATACATGCTTAGGTGAACATGTATCTTTCGATACATGACTGACGAGGCAAATATTCTTTCTGCAGTAGGCCAGTTTCCATCTAAGGCTATAGAACCCGGTCTGTCCTACTATTTATTCATAGCTGGGGGAGAAGAAGAGGATTCATACCTTTCCGAAGGGTCAATCAGTCAGTTATGTGCCATGTGTGATACATGCTTAGGTGAACATGTATCTTTCGATACATGACTGACGAGGCAAATATTCTTTCTGCAGTAGGCCAGTTTCCATCTAAGGCTATAGAACCCGGTCTGTCCTACTATTTATTCATAGCTGGGGGAGAAGAAGAGGATTCATACCTTTCCGGAAGGGTCAATCAGTCAGTTATGTGCCATGTGTGATACATGCTTAGGTGAACATGTATCTTCGATACATGACTGACGAGGCAAATATTCTTTCTGCAGTAGGCCAGTTTCCATCTAAGGCTATAGAACCCGGTCTGTCCTACTATTTATTCATAGCTGGGGGAGAAGAAGAGGATTCATACCTTTCCGAAGGGTCAATCAGTCAGTTATGTGCCATGTGTGATACATGCTTAGTGAACATGTATCTTTCGATACATGACTGACGAGGCAAATATTCTTTTTCTGCAGTAGGCCAGTTTCCATCTAAGGCTATAGAACCCGGTCTGTCCTACTATTTATTCATAGCTGGGGGAGAAGAAGAGGATTCATACCTTTCCGAAGGGTCAATCAGTCAGTTATGTGCCATGTGTGTGATACATGCTTAGGTGAACATGTATCTTCGATACATGACTGACGAGGCAAATATTCTTTCTGCAGTAGGCCAGTTTCCATCTAAGGCTATAGAACCGGTCTGTCCTACTATTTATTCATAGCTGGGGGAGAAGAAGAGGATTCATACCTTTCCGAAGGGTCAATCAGTCAGTTATGTGCCATGTGTGATACATGCTTAGGTGAACATGTATCTTTCGATACATGACTGACGAGGCAAATATTCTTTTTCTGCAGTAGGCCAGTTTCCATCTAAGGCTATAGAACCCGGTCTGTCCTACTATTTATTCATAGCTGGGGGAGAAGAAGAGGATTCATACCTTTCCGAAGGGTCAATCAGTCAGTTATGTGCCATGTGTGATACATGCTTAGGTGAACATGTATCTTTCGATACATGACTGACGAGGCAAATATTCTTTCTGCAGTAGGCCAGTTTCCATCTAAGGCTATAGAACCCGGTCTGTCCTACTATTTATTCATAGCTGGGGAGAAGAAGAGGATTCATACCTTTCGAAGGGTCAATCAGTCAGTTATGTGCCATGTGTGATACATGCATGAACATGTATCTTTACATGACTGACGGGCAAATATTCTTTCTGCAGTAGTTTCCATTAAGGCTATAGAACCCGGTCTGTCCTACATTTATTCATAGCTGGGGAAGAAGAGGATTTTTTTCAATCAGTCAGTAGGTTGCCATTTCTTTCTGCTGTAGGCAAGTTTCCATCTAAGGCTATAGTGCCCAGTCTGTCCTGCTATTTATTCTTAGCTGGGAGGAGAAGAAGATAATTCATACCTTTCCCAAGGGTATTAGCACGTAAGTGAATGTAATGGATTCAACTGGAATTTGAACTTGGCTCTCCAATTTCTCAATCCATGCCGCTTGTAGTACTGTTTATTTACTGATTAGCTACAGACTTATTGATGTACCTACATAGGTGATTAATAGAGAAACATTGGATTAAGTGCAATGACAAGGAAGGAGATTATATTAAAAAGTAAATATCTGTTATATCAAATAAATGCTTTTTTCATCATTAGCCTACAGACTTATTCATCAACCAACATACCTTGGGTTTTATATATTTCTCAAGAAGTTGTTCTGAAATTTAAAAAGAACCATCAAACCTCCAACTAGTCTTATTTTGAAAACTTAAGTTACCAATACACGATTTAGGGAAATTTATATTTAAAAACTGAAAAGAGTTAAGTTATTCCTTTTCAGCTTGATTGTTTTTTTTAATGGCTTATCAACCTTTTGCAGGTTATTTAAAACGAGAAAATATTTTTAGATTGTAAGATTTTTATGGAGATAAAAATGATTTTATTGATACAAGCTCTACTAATTAATCCATAGATGTAGGCAGAAGAGGTTGAATCATGCATTCCCTAGGGGTATTTGTACATAAATGAATAAAAACAAACCTGAATAGAACTGGAACTCTGCTCTCACATTTCCAGTTCTGAGCCGTTATCCATTACATGACCCACACATCCAAGCTTACAATATATAGTATTCCTAAGCGATCACCCATCTGATCAGACTCAACATTGCTTAACTCTGGTGTCTTGATCTTGATTATGACAGTCCTGTTCTGTGCTCGTGTTGTAACAAAAGACATGACTTACTTCAGAATTCAAAACAAGCGCAAACGTGTCTTGCGTGCAAAGTGATGATAAAAAAGAAATATGGCCGCTATTGAAGACACAATTTATACGCGCCTATCTCATCCAAGACAAGACGATATTTGCACACATGCAAATTTTGGCCATCTTGGAATAGCATAAAAAGTGGGGTGCCAGAAGCACACAGAGAGAAGTCATGGACTGCGTGTGTTAGAGTTGGAAGTACGGACTGACAGACAAAGAGGAAGTTGAAGTATGCGCGGCTGAGTTGGTGCCTGTTTCACAACTGCCAACAATCCATTTCCTTGAAGTGACCGAAGAAGAAAAATAGCTGGCCTACCGGCAAGCGTCACACTGCACTTTTTGACCCTCATCATCATTTATTTTTCTCTACATGTGTGTAAACATTTCTTCACAAATATGATTAAAAAGATGAAAACATTTTTTCAAAATCTGTAAATTTTTTTGCCAAAGAAGAAATGGGATTTGAGTTATTTTCAGCATTAAATTTATTGAAAACCATGTCTTTTATATTGTTCCTTTATCTTCTGCTATGTTTTAGGCAACTTCATAATTCCATCCTTCTAAGAATTTTAGTGGAAGATATCTATGACATAATAGATATATGCAAAACTGACCATTTTAAATTAATTTAAAAACAAAGGACATATGTTGGCTTACGACCATATATTGAAAGAGCAGTTCATGTCTGATCAACAAAGTTAAACAACACTGAGCCTGGTCAGTACTCAGATGGAAACAAAGCTGGAGAATACCAGGTGGTGTAATCTATGTGACAGGCCTAGCAAACTGGCAATGGGTACAATCTTGTTACATATACTAAAAGAAGACCTTGATTTGTGGATCTGCTTCAGTACTGACAGGTCACAAGACTTAGAGTTGGGTGAGTGGGTGACTAAGGACATATGTTAGTTGGGTTTCAGGTGGGTTGCGCTAGCTAATATCCTACTTTAAAAGAGATTAATTTATCATCCAATGACATGAAAGAGAAGCTATTTTTAAAAGTCTGGAAATGTTTTACCAACATACGACATTGTAGATTAATGGTTACTAAGTTGGTTTTACTATTAAATTTGATCCTTACACAGTGCCAAAAATTGTGGCCTTGTCCAAAATATAACCAAGAAAATTTCATCAATACAAGAAATATTGCATACTTTTCCAAAGAAGTTTAGAAAAAAACATAAAAAAGTCAAAAAGAAAAAAAAAGATATCCTCACCTTTAGTGATAGCCACATGTCCAAGATAGTTGACTGTCATAAGTCTGATGTCAACATCCAAAGAGGTGTCCTCCACCCGGCCTCTGTAACTCTGGCCAGCATTATTAATAAGAACATCTATTTGACCATAGAAACTTATTGCTTGTGTCACCTTCTCTGGAATTGATGCCAGATTAGACAAATCTAACTGCAAAATGGCTGGTGGGGCGGGAATGCCACCCTGGAGGAAGAAATTTGAGAAATTAAAAAAAAAAAAAATTAAATATTCACATACAAAATGTATTTTCCCAAATTAATCACAAGAATCCTTTACTTTTTGTTGACCTCAAAATATTATTAGTCACAAAAGGTTAAAAGATAACTTTCTAGTAGGTTGTAAGAAGCTGTATAAAAACAAATGCAAATATAACAAAGATAAATTTGATTATCGCATATATTTGCACCTTAGTTTGGGGTTGTCAAAGTGGGTATTTGACTCACAGATAGGTCGCAGTATAATCTAGGGTTGTTACATGGCCACTTTTTAACATAAATATAACTAATATTCGTTAAATATTTTTAAATATTCACCTTCATTTCAAAACTTTGCTTACATATATTAAAACGTAAATGATTGGTTGTGATTGGGTTGTATTTACTTATAGAGTGTGGGGCTGCTCTGGTTAAATGAAAATTTGGATACTGATAATCGCTTTAGTCCTAAAATCACTTGAAAATGATGGTTTTTCGTTGTAAATTAGATAATAAGTGGTAAATATGAGAAGGGCAGATCAAGTGATTTATTCAATGTGTGATCTGGTACTGGTGGAAGAGGCAATTGTGTAAAATTGATTCATTTTCTCACTTGCTCTCACTTATGCTTGAGCCCATGGTACTTGCCTAGACTACTGATATGGTACAGTCTACTTCAGATTCTCTATGATGTTGAGTGGATAGGTCACACCCCTGACTTTTATCAAAATTTTGATGAAAAAATTGTAACCTCTTCTCAAGTATATATGGTAGTTGATAACTGCTGTTATGAAAAATTACTGTAGCCTAATGTAAAATGCAATTTTTCTATTCCTTGCTGCTTATATTCTATGGTCTTTGATGAAAAATGAAACAAAAAGATGTGAATTCATATCTTATTTCTGAACGTCCTGTCACTAAGATAATATTTTCAGATTCTTATAATCTGAATCTCTATGGCCTTGTGAGTAAAAGACAAAGAGTTTGACTTAACGGTTATTTTCTCTTGTTCTTTTTTTGTTGAGTAAGGTCTAGCATTATTATGCTTGAGGCCGACACTTTCATGATTTATCATTAAAGACACTGAAAAAATGGTTGGGTCCTTATACTGCTCCAGAAGGTATCCAACTCCTCCTGCTGTGCTCTATCTTTGCAAGAGTCAAATCAGAACAAAAATGGAGTACTGCTACTGTATCTGGGTTGGAGCTGCCCAATCCTCTCTTTCCAGCCTTGACAGAATTCAAAAGCATCTATGCAGCCTTGTGATGAATGAGTGATGAATTATTTTCTACCATACAATTCCTTTCAAAGAGATGAAACATTGCAAGCCTGCTGCAACACTATTGCTATTTCCATAGAAAATGCTCTGATGGACTACATTCCTAAGTTTCACCAGTTCAAGCCTTTACAGCTAAGACCTACCATGCCATGTACACAGGTTTAAATCATCTTCATCCCTTTCATATCCCATTGGCAAGAAGAAGTTCCATTCAGACAGCTTCTTCTCAAGAGGAACTGCTTTGTGGAACAGACTCCTGAAAAGTTGCTTCCCAAATTACTGTCATCTTAACTCTTTCAAAGCTAGTGTTAAATAATAGTCTAGTAGACTATTATTTTTTAGAGAATTGTATTCACCTCTGACTTCCTCATTTTGACCTTTGAGGTCAGATACAGGAAAACAAAGGAAGTCGGTTAAAACTAGCATGCAAATGTTAGAGAAATAAAAAGGGATTTCATGGAGTTAAGTTTTACATGTCATACACAGTAGATGTGGGTATTTCCTGTCTCGGGGAACTTGCTCCCTAGTGGGGGTGATAGAGCAACTCCACTGGTTAGTTAAAAATGTACACATCAATGTGTTTAATAAAATAGATAAGTTTAAAATCCCTTTTGTTGAAGTTCTCTTTCATCTATGGACTCCAAAAATATTTTGACACCCGTCTGGGGGGAAAACGAGTGAGAGAAGATACAACATTATGGAATTGACCCTGTCAACCAAGACCTCCCCAGAATGAGGGGGCTATGTAACACTAGGGTAAACCATTATCTTTCTACATATCCACATGATCGGAACTTCTTATCTGCTCTTCTTATCCTCATAAAACAACCTCATTAAGTATCCCTCTACCTTGAATGGCTGTTGAGTTTTGTATTGGATGTATTAAAACAAAACAAAAAATGACATCTAAAATTAACACATACAAGTTGTTGACAACATTCAGAAGTAATGTTTTCTTTTCAATCCAGAAACTCATAATGGATAATACCTAGGGCCCTTTAAGCTTTTATAAATCAATGATTTCAATCCTCTAGATATTATGACTTCTAAATAGTTTAATAAACTGAAATTATATCACTAGGACACATTTATTACTCATTATTTGATTTTGCAGGAAGCAAATCAAGGAAAAGAATGTTTTCGTATGGGTCATTGTGTTTCAAGCTGATAACATTTGATTTTAATTCAGAATGTTTAAAGCTTAGATATTTTTATAAAAGCAGTGATTTTAATTTTCTAGATGTTTTAACTTCTAGATAGTTTCATAAACTGTAATGATATCAATATGACAAAATAATCTTTATTTGGATTGTTTTATTGTTATAATGCTAGTTAGAAAAAAAATCTATTTTTTTTTACTACAGCTGTGTTGAAATATGCCAATTTGGTTTGCAATAAACGGTAAAATATTAGTATTTCTTGAATATTTTTTATTGACAAACAAAAGATATCAATTCTAGTTTATTTAAAGAAGTTGCAATAAGTTTACTTCAAGCTATGTAATTGTCATTAAAATATATCACAGGTGAAAGATATTCAAGGTGGGTACAGGCAAATTAGAGGGTGGCTCCACCTAAGAGAGGGCCCTATTATTTCACTAGCCTAGAGGCCTTAAAATGTCATAAGCTGAGTCTTTTGCATTTGTTGTTAACAATACCCATTTCTCATCTTCTGTAACAGATTTAGAAAAATAAAACATCTGAATATGGAAACCAAACATAAATGAATAAATGCTTTCCAAAATATATACCTTTTTCTTACTGTAAAATTCTTGTTGGATTTTTTTCAAATGTTCCAAATTTCTGGCAGCAAGAATGACTCTGCATCCAGCCATGTAAAACAATTCTGCAGATGCTGGAAAAGAAGACAAGAAAAGATCAAACAATGTAAATATGAATATGAAGTAAAATTTACAAGTGTTACATATTTAATAAATGTATATTCTAATTGGTTCATTTTGCTTTTTTTAAAAGGCAAAAATTGTATAAATCATTTACAGCCTGATGTGGGAATTATTTACCAAATTCTTTTATAAACAAGACACTGGTTGTGTGTATGTGCTTGGCAGTATATAGAGTGGATTGAACAAACCCAATGCTTAAAATAACTGTTTAACAGCTTTTATTTGTAGTTGAAAGAGAGAGTGCAAAATAGTGGTATTTTGTGGGAAAAAAGTTGGGTTTCCCAGTTAACAAAGTTCTTCCCTTGAGTAGATGTTTCATAGAGAGATAAACAAGAAATCTCAGATCAAGCTGCCAGAACAGACCATGTGTCTTCAGCATCAAGGATTTTAAGTAGCCCTTCAAGCTGGGCCGCTGAAAAGAAAAAGTGGAGAAAGATTCTGAACAGGGCTCAGTCAATGTTTTTATGAGTTCTGGGACTTTTGGTTGTTCCATGCTGATTGTTACTGCTACTGCTGGATCAAGCAAAGTAAGGAAGCCCCCACATGTCACAATAGCCAACAAGATTGTTTCTAAAATACACTGATATTATCAATGGCAAAGATCATTTTCTCTTTCAAGTAAAATTGATTGCTTTACTTTCTTTTAGCTATAAATGTCATAAAATATTCTTGACACCTCCAGACATCATACACAATTATTTTTAACTGCACATAACCAACAAGGAGGTAATTCAGAATTGCTGCATTATTTTTTATTTGATCTTCCATACAAAAATAATTTACAGTTGCAAAAAGAAAAGAAAATGCTTTTAAAACTATTTCTGGTGTGAAAATAGCATCAAAATTTACATTTTTAGATTCTTCAAGCACATATTTAATAAAAACAATAGATCTAGTCATCAGCAACTGAAAAGATTTCGAAATTACTGAAAAATTACAAGTAAATTTTAAGAACTATTCATTGTAGATTTTCTTTCCCCTGTCAAATCTGTTTTATCAAATTATGCAAGCACCAACTCACAAAATTACTTCTTGATTTTTCTTTTATTGAATTATTTTCTAAGGTTTCACAATAAATTTTCACGATGTTCTGGTTTGATATTGCAAGAGTTTTTTTTTTTATTGAAATAATATCTTCAGGTATTACAAAAATGGATAAACATGCCATTGATATATTTTTTTTTTGTTCTTGAGAATTTACAACAAAAATATTAATTAAATATTGTTTATTTACGAGAAAAATAATTTTATATTTACAACATTAAAAAACTAACAATGCAATATTTATCATTTAACAATTTATAAAGAAATACATCTGAAAACAATTTTTATTCATAAATTTATAAAAATTTACTAAATTATTAAAATATGTGAATTGTGATCCATGGGGAAATCCTTATTTACCATTTAGATTTGAATTTGAATCAATTTGCAATTATTAGCAAATGTTTTTTTGTTTGCCAACCATTCCAAAATAGTGTTAACAAACGAATAAATAGTGTTTTGTTTATTATTGTTGTTTTCAATTCTCAAGAACAAAGAAAATGTAAATTTACTTTCATATATTTAGGTTTTGCTTTTATTACAATTCTAATCATCGCTTTTTTAAAATAAATATTGCCGAAGAATAAAGGTATTTAAAAAAATCGGTGTCATGGGAAAAACCGTCCTTTTGACACGGTTTTATTGCGGGTAAGTTTATCCATGTTTGTCGATTTTTCTTTAAAACTAATATAGTTACTATATAATTAAAAAAAAAAAAAAAAAAAATGTGTAAATCACCAATTTAAAAAAAAAATTCACGATGTATCGAAATGCGTGTGTGTGTGTGTGTGGTGGTGGGGGGGTTAACTGACTCCTTCTACAAATATCGAACGAAAAAAGTATTTTCTAACCGGACGGTCACCCGATCAGTATGGCTTTTTTGTTTATTATTCTTTTGTTTTATTCCAACACCAACAATAATAATGAAAGTCTTAAAGAAAAAAAATTCTTTATTCTTTTTGCTTTTCACATTTTATCAAGTGTCATTACATTGAAAGCAGACGAACCGGATTTTTTTTTTTTTTTTTTACACAAACTTTGCTTTTCTTTTTTCTTTCTTGAAAGAACAATCTTAATCTAAGTTTTTCAGCATTTTTATAAAGGTCGAAGAATCTACAAAAAAATAATTAAAAACTGAAAAAAAAAAAAAAATAAAAAATAAAAGATTTCCGACAAATAATTTTTTTTCTAACTTCTCCATTTGTTTTTTTTTTTTTAGAAAGTATCGAAGAGTTTAAAAAATTTCAAAAACGGAAATTAGCTTTAAAAATATAGTAATTTCTTACTATATTTTTTAAATAAACCCATTTTTTCATTTGTTTCTTCTTTCTTTCTTTTGTAAGGTTAAAAAAAAGGACATTATCAATCACGTCTCTACAATTTCCTGTCCTTTTTTTGTAGCTCTTAAACAAAATGAAAATTGCATAACATTAAGTTGTTCCCTCCAAGAAAATGTAAAGATTAGTAATGAAGTCATTAAATTTAAATTCTTATCAACAGAACACTAATTATTTTTTAACCTTTTCTCATCAGCGATGTGGTACCACCGTACCAGATGTTAGTGTTCGAGCTCAGTTAAATAAAAATGAAATGCTGATTTTCTAAGCTAAGCAGGTACGTTTTCTTGTCTATCTTGTATAAATTATTGACAATATAAATAATTATTATCTCTCCATTTGGTATTTCTACACAAAATTCAACGAAAGGTCATAAGTTGGATCAGAATGTTCTTTTTTTATGCTGTAAACTAAGAAAATTAAATTCCTAAAAAAACAGCTTTACTTTTTTTTTGCAGTGCCACTTTAAAACTAATCAGCAAATTTAATGAATAAGAATAAGATTTAAAGTAAACTTTGTGTCAATTCAATTTGAATTATTGACTTTTTAAATTTAAAAAAGTCAAGTCAATAATTCAAATTGAATTGAATGACCATAAATGAATTTTTATTCATTAGCCGTCATTTTTGTGTTTTTGTGCATCTATTTTTTTTTCATTGATAGGTTTGATAATTTTGAATTTAGTATCAGTTTATAATCAAAAATTCAAAATTAATGCAGATAAGAATATTTTTTTAGAAAAGCTCTAAAATCCCCCGATTGCCAATAAATAAAATAAAATAAAAATAAATAACATTTTCAGCAATAACTACTCAATGTAAAAATAAAAATGCCATAATTTTTTTTTAAATCTCCACTTTTCACAATTCATTTTAAGTTTCAGAAATTCAGAAACTTTTTCGATGTTGTTTTTATTATGATACACAGCAGACAAGACAGCCACTTTTCTTTATGATTCTAAAAATTCTAAATGTAAATGTTTTTAAATACAATTTCCATGACAATATCAACATTGGGAAAAAAAAAAAAAAAAAAGCAAAGAAAATAAAGCTGTTATTATTTTTTTAATTGATTAGTTTTGTTTAAAACTGTCGTGTAGCAGATGAACTTAATTATTAATATATATTTATTTCCATGCAATCATTAAACTGCTGTATTGAAATAAGTTAACAATAAAAAAAAAAAAAGTATTTTTTAAAATTTTTTAGTATTTCTTGTCATGTCTCTTAAACAAAGAAAACTTAATTTATTTACCCTTTCCAACACCTGAAGTAGCACCAGTGATAAGTATGACTTTTGTCTTGATGCTGGGCCGTGTTTTCTTTTTCCATAGTTGCAAAATAAAAAGCAGTAAGCCAAAAATGCCGCATGTCCCTAAAAGACCGGCTCCATTAGATACGAAGGGAGACATCATTTCCTTCGATTTTTACACTGTCGATCTAAAACTTTTAATAAACCAGATTCTCTTCAGACATATTTACGGTCATCTAGGGACGCTTGAATACCTTAGAAATAGTTACACGGCATTTTGGACTTCACAATTCATTTTACATTTTAGTTCTTTTGTAATAAAATCAAGAAATGATCCAGGTGAGAAGGCCTCTCTTATTTTTATTTTTTATTTTGTAAAATACCCGTCAAATCGGTGTTCGATAAAGGGAGGTAAATACGGTTGCCTTGAAGTCAGTTATCTTCGGGATTAAATTTAAATATGTGAAAGAATAATAATAATGATACTTAGCGATTTAGTAAGCGTAGATTACATGTGGTACAAGGCCGAAAGTATGGAGCTACCAATAAAGATCGAACTAACTATTCAGTTATAATTCATCTAACCAGAAAAGCTTGCTAAACAAACATTACATCGTACCGAAGTGTAACTCGATATGTCATTTTTATGGGTATAGAAGTTCTGTTATTTTAAAGTTTAAACAGTGTGAATTATTGTCTCTACCAGGCTACGAATTCTAGAAACTTGATAAAGAATATGTGTTCTTTAGTAGGCTTTGAATCTGTGTATCCCTTTATAGGAGAAATCTGATCTGAAATACTAGGTACCTTGACAAGACAGATTCACTAAAAACGAGTATATACATTATGAAAAATGCCCCAACATAATAAAAAATAAAGTTTTATTGTCAAAATCTTTATTATTATTAAGAGGAAAAACCAAAGAATTTTTTGATTATTAAATTATATTTTTTGATCCTTTTTAGAACCTATTCAAAAATTTAGTTAAAAATTTTGTTTGTCTTGCCTCAATTAGTATAGGAAGTTTTAGCACCTTTTTTTTCAGTGAAAAACACATTGATTTGAAAATTCTTGCAAAAATCAAATAATTGTTGGAGTTTAATAAAACTTTCATAATGAAATTATTTTAAAAATATTTATTTTATTTTTAAATCTTGGCAATTTTTTGTTTTACACTTGTTACCCCTATTTATTTAATTTTATGAAATTTGAAGAAATTAATTTTTGTACCACTTAATGTTTATATTAATTAAAAGCAGAATTCCTTGGAGAATTTAAATCATCAACAGGACTGCCAGTTACTGAAAATCTGCTCTGAATGGTAAAATAACAGATGCAATAAAACAAATACATTATTTAACTTGAAAAGCTTTTAATTGCTTTTATGAATAAGATATATTATGGACATTATTGTCTTAAAAGATTTTCAATGAATAATGAATTTTTACAAGAACTGTTTCTGTTTTTTTAAATTAAAATAATTTATAAAGTTTTAAATCTTTAAATTTTCTGTATTAATTTGTAGCAGTTAGGTGATATTGTTATTAAGTAAAAATTATATTTACTAATCATAAATGTAAAAGCTTACTACAATTCAGGGACTCACTGTATATTAAAAAGAATTTCAAATATTTTTGTATATGTATAAACATGCTGAATTTTGTAAATACAAACATCCATACATGACATTATCAGAAAATGAGCAATATCTATAGTAAATTTAAAGCCGAAGTAGCTAAAATTCAATAAAGGATTAGATTATGGAGAATATTTTCCTAAATTTTTAAGATTACTGAGTAGTTAAAAATTATATAAAAAAGGGGCTCACATTGTATTCTTAAAGAAATTGTTACAGGTATGTTCACCATAGAAAAAAATTAGGTAAACTTCCATCTATCAGTCCAGCTGTAATCACCTAAAATAAACAGCTACCAGATGAGATATTTTAAATGTAAAGTAAGACTTGTTTCAAATCAGATTAAGTAAACTTTAAACCACTACAGGCTAGTAAGGTTCAGTTACCCTCTTGGAGAATGCACATCCTCTTTAGATCTTCTCAAAAGACCATATTTGCTCATTTTTTGTATACAAAACCTAAACAAAGTAATTTCCTTTTCAAAAGTCTCTTGAATACATTTGAAGTAGCAAGAAATAATGTTGGATAAGAAATCCATTTATTCCTTAGAAATTACATACACACACACACACACACACACATACATACATATACATATATATATATATATATATATATATATATATATATATATATATGTGTGTATGTAATTTCTAAAGAATAATATATATATGATCTGGGTCTACTACCACCACACTGGTTAAGTTGGTTTATATATATATATATATATATATATATATATATATATATATATCAACTTAACTAGTGTGGTGGTAATAGACCCAGATCAATGAGTGTGGATATACGCCTAAAATATGTGTGTATGTGAGAGTGCATGTGAGCATGTCTGTCAGCACAAAAAGCCAGCCTTAAAAATGTCAAAGCAACCTCCACCTGTCCCCTAATAAGAGAACATTGCTACACACAAAACGCTACAATCTTGACACTGAAATAGACAGAATAAAAATTGCATAAATACGTGTGCACGAAGGAATGAATATGTAACTGCGCCTAACCCAAGATTATGAATATGAGGGTGTATGTATGAACTAACCTGTATGCCCATATCTATGTGGGTCTATGTATATGTGAGTGTCATCCCAAACAAACACAGAAGAAAATTTTTCCCCCTTAATCACGCACAAATAATCAAACACAAATAAAGAATAAATTGATTTACTTTTGAAAAAATAAACCATTTTGTCTGAAGATCCCGAAAGTGTGAAACCCAGGGTTACAAACTACTATCCATGCAATTGCATATGTTAGCTCTATCATGGATATTGAGCACTTTCCACTAAATACTGCACACATATATTGTGGAAATTTTATGACAAAGTGGGAAAAGTTTACTTGTGATACGTTTTGTTCTTCAGGACTTCATCAGACTAAATTTGCTATGTTGGTAGGATAACACATGTGCACAACTGAGGAGTGCTGGGAATTTTAGAATTTTTTTCTTTTTTTATCTAGCTGAATTCATTCAGAGTCTTTTTCTTTAGTCAATACTAAACAGAACAATAAGCTAAAACCTGAAGGAGGAGTTTATAATAATTATCACAAAAAATGCATAGGAGAAACTTCAAAGAATCTAAATAAAAGATTATATGAATACAAAATACATTTTTATTATTTTATTTATTGGTTTTATTTAATTTTCCCCACAGTGGAAATGGCTTTAGCTTTATAGTCAGTCAGTGGCTCAGAACTGACTGTAAAAACTGTGTGGGCCTTTTACTCATTGACCAGAAAAGATTTTTGTGATACTGACATTTTTTGATGAAATTCTCAGAATATGGATGCATGGAATCAAATTAAATTATGGTCTGTTTTTGTTATATGAGCCGTGGATGCTGAAGTGAGCCATTTCTTTGAGCTAAAGAATTGGAGTTCTGATTGGTTAAATAACAGAACAGATTAGGCACTGTAGCTCTGGTAGGTAGTCAGTCTAAGAGAATGAAACCTTTGGATTCAAACCAATTGGATGAACTAATGTTGATTGTGGAGGGATGATTCTATCAATATTTACCATATCATGAATGTACGCCAATCAAGAGAAATGCCTATAGCTCAACTTAAAAAGTTATGTTTAGCCTGATGTAGTTCAAATCTCTTGAGATTGATTTGAATTCAGAATTTTCCTTCTCTTATGTTGGTTATCAGTTAAGGCTATATGGCCTAGTCAAGTGGTTCTTAACCTATTTTGCTTAATAACTCTTTCACTATAAGTCAGGATGTCATTCCTGCCCTTTCCAAGATTGTCCGACTCAAAAGGTGTTCCAAATAATATGAAAATCTAAATTTCTTTTCCCTATTAGTACATATCATATGCATTTACATGGATTATTTTTGTAGTGGCAAAAAACACAAGAGCTATTGGAAAGAAAACCCAGCAAGCTTGAGAACTCTGTCCTCCTATTTATGCATAGCTAACAGAGAGATTTCTTATTCCAAGCCACTATCTATTACACCACCATGGTCATGCACACAAAGAAATAAGAAATAACTGAAGAAAAAAACAGCTTTCGACTTTTGCATGAAGTTTCATTTTGACATTGGGAACTTTTGCCCAAACCTCATAAAAATAGAATTGTCTTTAAAAAAAGAATAAACTTGGACGTTCATGCCCACCACAATAAAAACAGAATGTGAAAAGGATATTTTTTCCATTGACACTGCTATTATTTAAACTACCTTCACTCCTCAGCAATGTTTATTGTTTTTAAAAAGCGATGATTAGAATTGTAATAAAACGTACGCATATGAAAGTGAATTTATATATTTTCTTTGTGCTTAAGAATTTACAACAAAAATAAGATACTATTATTTTATTGGATTGTTTATTTACACTATTTATTAGATTGTTTATTGGAATGGTTGGCAAAACATCAGCTAATTACTAATCGATTCTAACTTTACATAATGGTAAATAATATAGATTTCCTTATAGTTGGTTCACATATTTTAATAATTTAGTAAATGTTTATAAATTTATGAATAAAATATTGCTTTTATATTTATTTCTTTATAAATTGGTAAATGAAAAATATTGCATTGTATTAGTTTTCAAAATGTAAATATAAAATTATGCTTGTAAATAAATAGTTTGCCAAAAAAATTAATTTAATTTTTCTTACCACATTTTTGTTTTAAACTTGATAAAATTGTTCAGCTTTTGATTTTTTTTTCAGCATGAAAAATAAACATTAAATGGTGGCATGAATTTAGGTTGAATGAATAACAACAAAAGAATCTCTGTACACTTTTGCTGTAAAGGTCACATTCTTGTTTGCAAATTTAGTCTTCTTTTCTTAACACCGATTTTAGTTTTGTAGAAACATTGCACAATTAAAAAAAAAAAAAATTGAAGGTCAAATTTATTTTTCAGTATCTGTCTATATTTCTGAGATGAGGTATTATGTACACTATTTACATTATTCAGACTATTGTCCTTATATTTGTTGCCATATTTATTACAACGTTTTGGCCATTGTACACTCCAGCCTTCTTCAGGTGGTTGGAAT